CTGCCACCGCCACCGCCACCTGCCACTGCCATCTCCAGTTACAGAGACGGCTCCGACAAAAAGAGCAGTGGTGGTTCTGCCCCAGTAGAGGTGATGACACCCGAACTGGCAGAAGCACGGAAGTAATCATACCCGACCTGATAGAAGCTTAGGAGTGAGTGCGCGAGGTGGTTATAAAAGGCTCTCTACCCCCCAAGAACAAGGTATGCAAATTTGCGCTATCTGGTTTTATTTGCCTTTGAAGGATTCTAACTTGAGCTTCGGAGCCTTTACATCGGGTTCCCCCCGGAGCTTCTTCATCTTTTCCATTTCAGGTTCCCTGCAATTCAATTCAGAAGCAAGGTCGTTGACAACTAAGACCGGCCGGATTGCGCACCATCAACATTATTTCTTTCTAATTGAATTTTGCAGCAAATTGTACGCATCTTGTTTGTAGGCGACCCAAAGTGTCTTAAGAGAAACCCTTGATGATAAACAGCTGTCACTGTAGGACTCCACCACGACCTATGAATGTTGTGTGGCTTTCCGGTTCATGATACTTTAGATTACAATCTTCCATTGTTGCTATTTGCTAAGACTAAGAAAACCAGCGAAATAGGGGAAAAAAGCCCTGGTTGCTAAACAAATAGAAATGTGGCATTTTCAGGTTCTATTTGATATATGAACTCAATTGACCTATTTCTCTTTTTCTTCACCAACCCAAAGGATTCTATTCAATCTTGTCAAATGAAGTCAACTCATTCTTCACCATAGAGCTCCCTTTAAATTGTTCTTCACTTTTGTTTTATATCTTTTTAGAGATTTTCTTTTCTTTTTTTATGTTTATGTTTATTTTCTTCTTTATTTACTCCACGTGTTGCACAGGGTTTTCCTTGCTGTTGTGTGGACAAAATCATAGACCTAGAACCATCCCGAGTCTGATAGACCCAATTATACTGATATATATTGTTTTATATAAATAACAAATTAAAACTCAGTTTTTTCATAACCTAATCTTAATAAAAATTTCAGTAAATTAATAAATTATTTATATGTTAATAAATCAAGTATTTTTGACTAAAATCATCTTATATATTATGGGCAGTCCAATGAATGAGGCTCACGCCAATTGGAGGTTTGGGAGAGACAAATATACACAACCTTACCCCTACAGGGTCTATACATACAGAGAGACTATTTCCAAGAAAAATGTCTTAATTATATATTACATATCAAATTTCCCCTTTAGATATAAAATATAATAACAATTATACAAAATTAAGCAAAAAATCTGAACCGGTTTAAAAAAAGTAAGAACCAGAACTGACCCAATTATTAATCGAGACAAAATCTCAAAACCAGAACCGATATAATCGATTTGGTTCAATTCGATCAGTAGATAGACAGCCCTCCCCATATGATTGTGATAAGGATTATATGATGAAGATGCAAGAGGTGTTCACCCAATGATCATCTCTTTCTTTCTTTTTTTAACTTTGTGTTAAGATGCTTATTTGGATTTTGGAACCCTTTTGAGGCGGCAATAATTTTCGTGTATTTGTCAATAAAAAGTGCAAGAGGTGAAAACAAAAGCATAACAAAATAAACAAGCCTCCGCTTTGGCCTTGGCAATTTATCTGTTTGGAGACCAAATTGAACCAAAAAGTATATTGGTTTTAAAAAACATTATAATCTAAAGTTAGAACACTTCAAAGCCTCTTGGCACGAAACCTAAATTGGGGCTCTATGATTTTTAGCTTAAAAAGTACAAATCCTAAAGCTTATCAAAATATAATAGTTGTTCATTCATCTTTAATATATTTCATTTTCTTGAGTTCATATCTCCACCTCCCAATGCCCTACAATACATCCCCGCTATGTATTGAGAACATCTCTCGATGATGACATTATAGAAATTGATACTATCATCAAGATAGTGAGTCATTGTGGGGCAGAGATGTGATCTCCATTTTCTTACAGGATTTTCTACTTAGAGATGAATGTATATGGGGTATCATGAGAAGTGAAGATCATACTCTATAATTGAGAAAATGGATTCCAATACAAAATGTCCTAGTCCGTGAGCCACTGTTTTAGTGTAAAAATATTCTTCCAAAGTCAACAGCTCCAATCAATCAGCTTTAACCCTAAAGCTAAAGGACAGCATTTCTTGTCCACCCAACAATGTGGCCACCAACCATGAGATATCCTAATGGGTACTGTGAGAGCATCCAGATTCCAGCGGAGGACCTCTTCGACTACGATATCGTACAATCTAATATCTTTTTCAGGCTGTTAAAATAAATAAATAAATAAGTAAAAATATCTTTTTCAGGTTTATGTTGAAGATGTAACAAAATTAAATATTAAGAAATTATTGGATGGTCAAAATAATTTCATTCTCTAAAAAGAGGCCACCTTATTTATTTTTTGAGTAGAAATGTAGAATGGCCAAAATTATTTTTGCATATTTGATGTAGTTTTGGCCCCACAAGGGCAGAGCGCCATAAGCTAGACCTAGTTAGTAGGGTCAGCAGGTTAGCTATGGTATGGTACATGCGAGACCGGATCTGCTCCTCACACCTGGTGCTTCACACGCACATCCTATCATGCATTGGGAACATCTCCCGTACTTATTAGTGAATATTCACGAGAGATGTTCCCAATGCACGGTGGATGTGCCTGTGAGGTGCCCATTTGTGAGGAGCAGATCCCGTCACGGTACATGCATGGTATGAAGGTCGGATTAGCCAAGCACGATAACTGTTCAACGGGCCCCATGTATTTTATTACTGACATAAAATATTATCATTAGTTCCACAGCCAGCTCAACACCCCATTGCCATTCACTACACAGACAGCCTGCCCTAATGTGGATTTGAATCTGAGGGTAGAAAATGGTAAATTTTTCAAAATCTAAAGAGAAAGATGAAAATGTTACAAATAATAGTATTTAAAACGCAATTGTAACATAAATTTATGCTAAAAAATCAATTAAAAAATAATAAATAATATGGAATTTAATATACCATATACTTAAAAGGGCGAAAATGTTGAGGAGAACCAATATTGATGGTATCTTCTAAACCTGTAAATTTGTCCTTTAAAAATCCATAATAGGGTAATGTAAATTTGTTCTATACGCTAATGTCTCAACTGCTAAGTGCTATTTGCCTATCCCCGGTTAATATTATTTTAACTGATTTATATATAAGAATTAATCCATTTTTGGGTTACAGTAATAATGCTATTTGCCTAGCTTTAATCTTTAGGCTTTGTCTGTTTACATGGCAATTTCATTTGCACTAGTACAAATGCATGGGAGTGTGAATGAGAAAATTGAAAATTTTGGTTCTTTTTCATGCTGGATTTTATTTTATTTTGCTTCAGCTGCATTGCAAATAAACAATATTAAAGTAAAACCCATGACAAAATAAAACTTAAATTTGTGCTCAACTCATTTACACTTCCATACTTTTGCATTGGTGCAAAATGAAATTACACTGCAAACAAACAATGCCTTATCAGTATCACCAAAACTATATATTAATTAATTTTCAGGCTAATGCCAGTGTCTGCACTTAAACGACGCCCCCCAAGGAGAAGCTCAATGGTGGTTCCAAAGTAGAAGAGCTGCGGTAACTTATTTTTCCCATCTGTCCTCAGCCTGAGGTTATGGTCTTATGGATATATAGTGCTCTTTGTGCTATTCTAGTGAACCCCCAGGTTTATACGATACAGTGTGATACCGAGAATCATTTTATTTCGAAGCCTTGTTGGCTGGTTGACGTTGATATTCCATGCAGTATAGATTCTCTGAATCATGGTCTGACCCGATACAACCCCTGTAGGGGCATATCGGAAAGCCACCGGCACGATATGTATCGATATTTTGAACCTTGATTCCAAGCATACTGAATCAATGTTCGGTCTCAACATGGAGACAGAAAAGGGCCATTACCCAATGTTGGCCCTGTCCTCCTGGTTTCCTGACAGACAGACTGAAATAGGATTTTCTCAGACTTGAACCAACCTTCCTTTCCAGCCCAAGATTTTACAATTGCACCATGTAATGGTCTCTACATGGTGACATAGATACTAGAAAAATCATATTTCAATTCAATCATTTTCAGGTTCTTCACAAAGCTGCAATGTGCATAGTGGAGGTAGAATACAAAAGCTTCCCAGCAATGAAATTTGAAGATCCTTTGCTGCTGCCACTACTAACTTTTCCTGTATTCCACAAATTAGTTCTAAGACTTTTATATAACAGAAGAATTATGTTACAAGAGGATCAGAGGAAGAAGCTTTCACGTGTACACCGCCAAGTCTTTCATGTCATCAGCCATAAAAAAAATACATGTAAAGTTGAGATACACAAACGCCAAAGGATCCAATGATAGCTGATGGTCCTCAATTATCTGGTTATAGATGCAGCATGCACACATCTTGACGAGCATGCACATTGATTGAACAATATCCATGGCTTCTATACACAGCCTTGATCGGTCATGCCTTGAGCAAGTGTTAGGAAAGCAGCAATTGTTGCACCATGCACCAAAGCCCTGCCAAGTATGGAAAAGAACAGAAGATAAAACAGATATTTAAGTTGTAACTTAGTGTCTTCTTAAACCAGCAGGAAGCCAAAATTTGAGGATGAACTAGTTGAAGCCAACTTATGTTGGAATTAATGGAGGGCCATTACCAATGTCGGATCCAACTATCTGGGTTCTTGGGAAGGGCAGACTGGATACAGTTCTAACCTTTGGCATTTTTTTGCACAAAGTGGCCGTTATCAGATTCAAATCCATGTTCTCATGCTTGCTGACCCAAGATTTTACCATCACACTAAGTAATGGTCCCTATATGTTGGAATTATTGAAAAGAAAAAAACTCTTTTGGACTGGGAGATAGGTATTTAACTTGAAAGACGTGCTTCTAGTCCATAACACATTAGAGGACAAACACCACCTAAGCAAGTATATAGCAAATGGATAAGTAATTTGGGTTAAAGATCAACAAAAAAGTGCGGTCATAGGGTGGCAAGACAATGCATTTTAGATACCCATGGGGAAGGGAAGTGGTGCTGATTTTTTGACCCAGTAAATCTCCTCAAAGCACCAAATGGCAAGTAACCATGTCAGTGTATATTCTGAAACATAAATGTCTATATGGAAATGAAATAAACAGTGAGACATGGAAAGATGGGCATATGAAGTCATTAGTAGTAGTACAAACACTTACTCAGGAGATTCTTTCTGATACCCGAAGTCTGTTGCTGCTTTGATGGCTTTCTGGTATGTCTGTTTCATGACATCCTGCCAGAAAAGGAACAAAGATGAATATTTCTGTCCACGACTATTTTCTTCATGAATCAAAAGGATGGTAATAGCATAATATTGTCAATTCTCCTACAAATGACAAGTGGAGAGGCACCTCATAGGTTCAAGCAAAAACATAAATTAAAAGGTCAATCCAACCCAATCTAAGTTGCACCTTTATGTAGATGCCAAGTTTGTTCATCCAGAGCCAATGCAAGAAGATAAGGGCTAAGTGTCAATCTTTGATGTAATCCCATTGTGACTAGAATCTCTCTCGCCTCTCTATCAATTCTTCTCACATCAGTTACTGCTCTTACATACATATTCCTATTGATATCAATATACACACATATTCCTATTGATCTCGTAACATGAAGCCAAATTGGTTCTCTAAGACAGTAGTTTTGTTTTGTTTTTTGGATGCGCAACAGAATTGAGACACTAGTTTCATGTCTTAATCACTGCTCAATCACTCTCCCAAGTTACATTTTATGTTTCATAATCTTAATACCACAATAATTTGTACAATTTTGCATATCACCCTTCGCTATATATATAGGGGCCATTGTACTCCTCAATTCATATGGTTCTTTATTTGTTTTAAAAAATCATGTTAAACAAGTTAGTCAACCATAATTAACTCATCCACCAATGTACCTTAAAACTTTGATTGGAATACTATCCGGTCCTAGAGCATTTCCTACCTTTATCTTTCTTAGGGCTTCTTTAACTTTTGAATATTTTATTCAATAACCATTTCTATGTTTGCAGCTCTCCATATATTTCCTAAGGCCTTTAAAATGTGAGCTCTTGATATGCTTTTTATTAATCTGCTCATTCTTTACAAGAATCCTTTGATCTCCACTTTCGATGCATCTAACATGATCTAGGTCTCATTTTCCATCTCTCTCATCCTTAATAGTTTGCATATTGTTTTCACCTTCTTTTGTACTGGAATACTGGTAGAGTTCATCAGATTCTTTAATGTTAGCTTCATTTAATAATTTCTCAGCTTGCTTCTTAGTATTATTTTCTCTGTTTTGTCCATTTCTACTAATTTGCCAATCCTTGCAAGAAGACCTATAGTAGTAATGGCTCATTAAGCTTATGAGTATTCTGGGCTGGGCCAGGGCCAGGCCACAAATTTTTGGGTCTGATGTAGGCTTGGGCCCAGGCCAGGCCTGGACACAAAATCTAGGCCCAAGCCTGGAAATGGGCTAGAAATGATCACCCCTTATAATGAAATGGCTAAATCAATGCGGTTATGGTTTCTCATGTAGTACGTCAGAGTATTTGGATGGATAGGAATTCAGGAACTGTAGAATCTATGAAGGTAATGGAAAACCTTTTGTTCAAATATATGCATATGCATTAGTTAAGCTTTGTACATTCTTATCATTAATAAAATTTTACAGAACAGAAAAGTAATTAATAAGCTTTTTTGGTTATTAACCATAAAAAGAAGTGATGCCAGCCTTGGAATCACTGTTTATCAAAAACCTCAAATGTTGAATTTTGAAATAAAAATGGGAAATGTACTAAATAAATTCTTCACTCACTTCCTACCAATAAGCCAAGATGTGATTGCATGTTGGTCACGATTAACAATAATAATAATGCAAGAATTTCCAACCAGCTATTTTCAATTTTGCACCAAGGAAATGATTATTAAAGATAAGATATTATGGTCCATACCTGTAATTTAGTTTCAAAGTCCTCAGGAGACCAGTGCATCAAGTTACATTCATGATTTAATTCAAGTTCTCCAGCAGCAACCTGCAGAGAAGTAAGATCCGAGGTGATATACCTGTTAAAAACAAAGTCATCATTGGCAATGAACTTATAAGTAAATAGATTCAGGGTTTTCATAGAAGAGACCATTGCCTGGTGCAATAGCAAAATCTCTTGCTGACAAGTGAGATTTTAGGTTTGAGCCTGAGAGTGGACACTGTAAAAAATGCCAAAGGTAACTTCCATATTCAGTCCATCCCTCCCATGACCCTAGATAGCTTGGACAAACATTGGATAATGGCCCTTTTAGGGCTTCTCATAATTTTTTTTGCAGAGAGATTTCTGGTTAGGTCATTCAGGGAAGAAGCCTGAGGAGGTGTTTGCGTATGTGGTCATTTCCTTGGTGGATTTCTCAAGAAAATGGGACCCAAGCAATTAATGTGTTTTCACTACTTTCACAACCTGTAAATGGTAAAAGTCCATTTTTTCTTTATTGTCTGTTTTCATTCTCAGAAGTGGGTCCCAGATACTGTGTCAGCAAAAGGTAAGAAAAATAGATAGAAAATGTGATCCATTGATATGGCAACTTGTTTCCAGACTATTGAAGTTCCTTTTTCCTACTTTTGCAAACAAGACATGTTTTCTCAATTCCACGGTTTGAAATTGAAAATGAGTAGTTAAATGTACCCCTCCAGCACCAGCAGCCTTCGCTGGGGCAACCAGAACATTAGCTTTCCTCAGCACATCAATTGCTTCTGGGGTACAAGGCATATTTGAACCTAGAAATCAAAAGTTAGTATATGATTAGTACAAGCAGAGACTAAATTTAGGTCATGAAACAAAAGCTCCAGGAGGCACAAGGCATCATAGTGAGAGCTACTACCTTCTATTAGTATACGACAGCCTGAATTAACCAAATTCACAGCATCAGATTGATCGATTTCATTTTGTGCTGCACAAGGAAATGCAACATCACACCTTTCATTCCAAGGTTTTGCCTCATCATAGTACTTAGATCGAGCATAGGTCTTTGAATAATCTCTGTAAATGGAAAGAATTATAAATACACATAGCAAACTTTCAAAAAAATTGCAACGGTAGATGAGAGATAAAAGAAGAAATGAAACCTCAAACTTCTCTGATGAGCTTTGATGTCCCTTAAAAGTGATATCTTCACATAATCAAATCCATCTTCATCCACTAAGTAACCCTTGGAATCTGGATATATAATAGAGGATATTGAATTCCATTGGCATGTGATCAACTCAATTTCTTTATGCATCTTTAATTAAGTTAAATAGTATGATGATACTGGCTTTTCTGCTTCCAAGAGGCACAGGCCAGAGAAATCAAGCTTAAAATCATTAAAGCTGCCTCATTGCATACAAAAAGAAAAGAAGAATAAAAATAGAAATAGGAAAATGAGCGTCCAAGCAGATGTTATATTTTCACTTGTTTAAGAATTACTTCTGGAGAGGATGAAAATTGCTCATACTAGTTAGCATACCCCACCCATCCACCATAAGAACCTAACCTGTCCTCAAAGAAAGGCTGTTCGTTGCCAAGGTGGTCCTACTCCTACATCACTAATATTTTTTATCATGTGATTACATTTTCCTAAGTGGAACCGCTTCTATTGGGTCAGCAACAGTGGGCTGAGAATGATAGAATGATGGGAAAGAAAGCATCATATTTCAGATACGGAAAGATAGGTGAAAGGATGGATTTTGGTAAATATTTGAATTCTGAAAACTAGAAGAAAAGCTTCTGTATAATTAGATTTTTTGCTGCAAAAATTTCTAGTGGCAGTTGGGGACATGGGGTGGATAGGACTCAAATGATTTGGGGATACTTACAACTTGATAAGCTGTAATTAGAAAGAAGGGATAGGTAGCTATGCTAGACTACATGTTTGGGTGTTTTGGCATTTATGTACAAATCAATTTTTTTTTATCTCATAGTTAATAAAAGTTAACTGTTAACCATCAAATAAAGAAAAAACAAAGGACTGGTGCTTTAAGAGAAGATATCAGATATTACTCTCAGTAGAACAAAAAGAAAGAGAAAAAATAGAGGGAAAGAGGAGATATACAAAATAAGAGGAGAGAAAGAAACAGAGGAAAACTTATATGCAGGTAAAACCAAATAAAAATTTATTCACTCCATACTTCTAATAATTCAATTACAAATACTCTACTTCTAGACTCACTATAAGTCAATTTCAACTAAAAAGTGCCCATTTGGGAGGGCTGAAGTGCAGCAGATTCTGGCTTTCCAAAGTGGGCCCTACACAGAGCATTTAAGGTATGTTTGGTGGAGATCCCAAATTGGATATTAGTCGGTCATTTTCAGCTCAGCTCTCCTAAACGGGCCTGGAGTTGTCAAAATCTTCCAATTTACAACATAATTCATGACAGAACATGAATCCAAGGGGTTTTGACTCAAATCTTATGTCTGAATCTTTTTTTCTTAAAAAATCTTACAATTTGATGCATGAAACTCATGATTTATGCGATTCATGTGCTTCATTCCTTTGTTTTTCTAATGTTTTTCTTTTTCAAGGGGCACTTATTTTATTTTATTTTTTTGATAAATTTCAAGGGGGCACTTCTTTAAAATCCTTACTAGAACAAGGAATATTTTGGTTTTTTGTGTATTACTCGACTTTTAAGTCAAGCTTAATTATATCTTACATTCTAGTGTACAAGCAGTATACCCTTGCAAGAGAAATGGAGGTTACCTTCAGATTGGTTAAATAATCAGCAAATGGGTATGATACCTTAGCCAAACAAGGGGATCCTTGGGTTGTTTTGTGCCCCCTTGTATGAATGATGTATATGGGCTAGGTGTCATCTAGCTTGATATGTTGGAATATTGTAATTGTAACTATTCTTCTGATATAATAAAAATTCTGAGTTACTGATAAAAAAAGGCAGTAAATCCCTATTTATTAATGTACACATATAGCTTTAAGTGACTATGTTTTTAATTTTTGACAAATTTCTATAAATAGAAAAATGTTATGATTTATAATATAATTCATGATTCAGTTCAATACTTCAATTCAACCTTCTCTACAATTTACAATACAATTATGGTTTTTAGAACATTGCCAAAAACAACTTCTGATTGCATTAAAGCTGCAATAACCCATATATAGCCCAATGGTACACTAAAGCGATGTTTTAAAAACCGACTTGGAACCGGAACCACTTTGGCCACCGGTTTCCAGGTCAGTGGTTCAACCGTCCAGTCCGAACGGATGACCTATTGCAATTTAAAAAATAAAAATAAAAAGTAAAAATAATAAAAATAAAAAACAGTCAAAACCATTGTCTGAGTCAAACAGGCCGATGGTTCAACTTCTGAGGTCAGTGGATCACTGACCAAGTCAACGGTTTTTTGGCAAGATTCCAGTTCAGGGAGAAATGGAACCAGTTGACTGGACAGTTTCTGGGCCGAATGGTCCGACTGTCTGAGTCAAAGTTCGAAAATCATGCACTAAAGTACTCAAACTCCTAGTAGCATGTGTCCAAGCCTTGTATGAAAATGCACAATATGGTAAATGTGCCCAAGCCTTGTATGAAAATTTGGCCGAGACATTTGCTTCCAAATCCAACCCCAAGGAAACGAAGACCACAGTGGACATAATAATTCTGTAAAGAATGAATTAACAAAGCAGCAACTTTCCAGGTCAATTTTCCATATTCTTCTGTCCTCACCCATTGCAAGGATGTTCTGCAGCCAAGCAAGGAACTCAGCTAATACATCTGCTTCCCAAGCATTTACATGGCAACAAAACCAAGGTACCCAAAATACTTCATTTACTATCATTTCATAAGGTTCCTGGATAAGGGCCTTGGGACTTCAGCTAATCTTAGTAACATCAGGAAGGCCAAAATCAAAGATATCTCCACACTTGTTTCATGCCAGAAATGCGTCCGGTTCCCCTCCCCTTGGGGAGAGAGATACCAAAAGGGCCTTCTCCTCTGAAGCATCTCAACAGAATTGATTCTATCAAGATAAACCCCCCAGCAGAAGTCCCTGATCTTGAGTGAAATTGGACCTCCCCATATAGCTTTAACAGGATAAACCAATTATGCAACAACTCAAGAAAAGAGAGGGCATCCAAAGTTTGAGTTTCTCGGTCCTCTTTTTTTTTTTAATCAATATTTCTCGGTCCTCTTATTGCAAAGTCTCAAACTAAACCCTTTTTCAAAAAGCTTACATAATTGAAACAAGTTCATTTTGTGCAAAGAGAGAGCGTAGGGAAGGGAATTTTTTCTTTTAATGCTTTTCTCACTATTTAATCTCCAAGTTACATTTTAGTAAGAGGCAGAAGTTCTCAAGCAAGACATCCATCATAATGAATTTAAAAGTGATGAAATCTAGAGATTACCTGATACTGTGATGGGCACAGCACCATAAGCAAGAAGCTTCTCCAAGACATGCATTGCAATCTTTCCACAGCCACTTACAACACACCTGGAGGTAAATACAAAGCATCAGTGAACACATTTCCTACATGAAAAAGGAAAAATACAGATGACAGAAACTATATTAAAAGACATGGCACTGAAATTTTCATGAAAAAAAAAACAAAGATTGAAACAATAAAGATATTAAAATCATGTATCAATATATTTTCTCTCCTTTTGAATTTATCAATAATGGAGAATCTTTATTAGTAGAGAAATAAAAAGAAGCACAACCCCACTAAGGAGAAAGACAAAAGGTTAATGTCTAATAAGGGAATTGTTACACCAAAACCCTTCCTACAAAACAATGCCACCATATTAACAACATATTCAGCAATGAAAGATCCAAAGCATTACATAACCTCAGGACAATAAAGAACGAAATGTTCAAAAGCCAACACAAGGAAAGCGTTTCTCTAAGAGCACCACATAATCTTTGGTGCTCCTAAAATGGAGGATTAATACATAAGAATTCCCTTTAACCACAGTTCTCAAGAAACCATGACTCTGAAAAAGCTCTAGGCCCTTGCAATAACCATTGGGCTCAAGATCATGTAGGAGCATGCCCATTGTATCTCACACTTCCTATACTGGACATGCCTAGTTCCCAATGAACAGCCATCAATGATAAGTTTTATGTTGTCTTGGATGGGAGGGGGACCCAAGATCATGAGACAATCATCAAAGAACATTCCACTACTCTCTACTCTGTAAGCACATCATCCATACCAATCCTTTTGGATTCTTTAGCCAGAAAAACCATAATTTTTTTTAGCAGAAACCAAGACAATTTTTGCTTTTGGTAATACTTTTAGTCTTGAAAAAAGAATAAAAAAAAGAAAAGAGCCATATAAGATTTGAAAAGATCATCCAACCAATCAATTAACCAGAGGAAGAACAAGTCTGTAACAGAGCATGGAAATTTAAGTATTCTGCAATCTTTCTTAAATATGAGCTTCCAAAGTCAAGCTGAAAACCTTAATCCTTTCAGTTCTTTATTCATTTCTGCAAGCATAATCTGGGCAAAAAAAACCTGTAGATTACACAGAAATTTTGTGAGATAGCTAACAAATAATCCTAAAAACTGTTTATCATTTATACAAACAAAAATGACTAGGAAAATGAATAAGAAATGCTTCATCTGGGCAGATATTTCACCAGTCCATAGCCAGTAGCTTCAGTTCTAAGACTAGAACCAGACCAGAAGATCCTTGGCCCTGTAAAACTTCCCTGCATAAGTAAAGCATATATATGAAATCCCAAAGACATGATCCCAAATTTACTTGTGTCAACAATATCAGCAATAAAAATATAAGCAAAGTAATAGGAGACATTTTATGGAAATGGTGATTCACGGGCATTCATGACCATGCATCTATGAAAACCAAATATTGATATTACCTCTTTGTAAAGGGAAGAAAATATACACTCATCTCCTGAAAACTAGAATGATTGCTTCTAGCATTCAAGCTTCATAAAGTGTTTTGAATACCTGAAAATGACCGGCTAGACGTCTATATTGTCCAAAGAGGTAACCCATCTCCCGAGGACCAACCCCCATGTCTTCTGCAGGTAAATCCTGTATTCCACATCATCAATAAAATGACATTTCAAGACATTTAGGGTCCTGAAACAAATTAAGCAGTATCAATGTTGTCATTGCTACCTGATCTGGACCCAAATATCGATATAATTCATCCATATAACTTTGGCAAAAGCGCATAATCTGCAAAATGAGTTTAGAATACATTAGGAGAACCATCTTCACAGCCTCCAGAAAGATTTACCTTTAGAAAGAACCTACTGCAAAATGAAGTGACTCATACTACATAGAACAGATACATCCACATTCCACAAAAACAAAAATACTAATATAGTAATAATAAAATAAAGAGTACCTCATTTTCACTTTTCCCCTTTGGGTCAAAATCACTTCCTCCACCAGCCCCTCCAAGCTTGTATGGCGACAAAGCATTCTTTAAAGTCTGTGGAGAAATGTGAAAATATAAGGTCTAGTCAAGTCAGTTCTCATCTAAAAGACACCAGGTTGAAGAACTCCCAAATGCCACCAAGTATTTTATCATGACTAATATGGGATGAGGATAAATAAGGCTGTCCTTGGCTTTGAAAAAATAATGAAATAAAGTATTGACAACTTTCTCAAGAAAGAGTACTTTTTTTTGATAGATAAGAAGAAAGTACTTAGTGGTTGTCCATCAACAAAGATGAAACCTTGATTTCCATGATTTTTTCAACTGCCACAACTTTTAAGCAAGTAATGGGTTAGGTGGCCATCTAACAGCCTAAGTTCTATGTGTGTGTAGCCATTTTTAAATATTTGGTTTCCCCAACTCCCAGATTTATAATGGGAAAATATTTAACATTATGCATGCAATCTGATAGTCCAACCATAGTTAACAAAGGTTGACTCTTTCATGTATAGAGGAAAGGTATCTATGTAAAATGAAATCAGATACCTCTAACCATAACTGAGATAGGAAAATGATTCTGGTCAAGAGTTTCTCTATTTTCCAACAAAATCAGATGGTTTTTAGCCTTCCCATAGTAAGTGATCAAGGATGGAGATACAGTAATACAAATATAAAAGATTTCTCAACAAAATAAGCATTCAATCGTCCAGATAAGAGTAAACAATAGAGGAAGAATCAATCACCTAGATAGTTGGGTGTGGCAGTCAAAATCTGCATGCATATGCAAACCTGAAGATACCTAGGAAATTGTTAATTTAGGCCTTTAGTGGGGAGAACTCACTTCAAAGTTGGAAACTCTCAAAACCATGCAAATCCTGGCTTTGACTTTAACAACTCTTCCTTTCCCCAAATGGAGAGCAGCACCAGCTATATCCTGAATAACAGTGGGAGACTCTTCACCTCTGTTGGCCACTCATGCAGGGGATTGGAGAATGGTAGCAAGACACAAGAAACTTGAGCAAGCTGCCGGATTGATAACAAAAGCTAGATGTACTCAAGTAGTTCCTATATCCATTCCTTCACTAAAATGCAGTGCCTGGTCTTATCTTACCCTGTCCCTGGAGAAGATGAGTGAGTCCAACTCAGAAACTCAAGAAATGAACTTGGCTCCCATTGGTGTCATTCCATATGGTGACATCAAGGGCTGTACTCAGAGAAGGGACATTCCAAATGCAGATCTAGAAGGACCCAAAGAGAAGATTGGAAGCCAGAAAGTTCTCCATTCAAGCTAAGAACATAACATATTACTATAACAACCCCAGCAAGAAGAAAGGGTATTTAAAAATAGGAGGTAAATGGTAAGCCAATAGATGGAATCAATCAGAAGTGGCACACAGATCTAGAAGGACTCAATGAGAAGATTGGAAGCCAGAAAGTCCTCCATTCAAGCTAATAAGATAATAGATTACTATAACTGCCCTAGTAAAAAGGAATGAAATTTACCATTTCCTATAAAAAAAAAGGAATGAAATTTAAAAATAGGAGGGTACAGGGTAAACCACTAGATGGAATCAATCAGAAGTGGCAAACTTTTTTTTTTGAGAAAAAGGTAAGGTAAATTTGTATTAGCTGATCAAAAGATGGAACAGCCCTTTGAGATTCTGTACAAGCATAGGCAATTTCAGACAGCAAAAGTATACTAAGTAGAAAAAAGTTAATCAGTATGATAAGTAGCAAAATTTTCCCAAGAAATGCCTTTACCAGAGATGTTTCAACAGAATTCATCCAATTGAGAAGCTTTACTGTTGAACATCATGTTGTTTCTCTCCATCCAAATACACCAGAGGGTGGCTGCTGGGATAAGAACCAAGATGTCTTGCAATGAGGAGGCAGATTCTGTCACTGCCAACAGTGAAGGGCTTCCAGCACTGATCTCGAAAAGACCCGGCTTACATTTAGGCTGTTGAGAAAGTGAGTCCAGATCTGAAAACTGATTTGGCTGTGCAGGAAAAGATGATTTGTTGGCATTTGGCAAACTTCATAATGTGAAAAACAAATTAAAGTCAAATGGAAGAGGTTATGGATGTCATTGAAGTAAATGCCATTAAGTCAAGAAGCAAATCAAATTAGGTATGCTGGGGCAGTGGATCAGGTTGAGAGAACAACAGGTAGGGGCAAACCTATACCCACAACACATGATGTAGACAAATGCTCAGATGACCATAGGTCCTTTTTGATGCCTTGATGTCTAGTGGAATATCCTGACTCCTCACAAACTAAGAAAGGTATCAGAGTCCAGTTCCCACCTCTCCTAGCTACTTAGCATTTCCATGGAAACACCATAAAAGAATCAAGTCAATGTCACCTTGGATTGTTGTTGGGCACCCAGACCACAAACAGACCTGAGGAAGACCTATACACAGGATTGAAGGGTGAAGAAATATCAGATGATTACACTGAAAGCTATTACACAGCCAGAGAAGGAACTTCATTTGGGAGTTCCATTCAGCAGGCCAACCCTGATCCTTAATGGGAAATCCAAGACAGAATGTGCTGATCCGAGATGCCATTTGAAAAAATATTCTGACTCACAGTTACCTTTTCTCAAAACAAGAACACTCTCAGACTTCCAGCAAGATGAGAACCTGGTAAGATTCTGTAAGGAAAGCAAGATAAGAATCCCTGCTACTCCCAACCTGTCTATCATACCTGAGATAATTCCCATGAAAAACCTAACCACTATGTAGTTTCTCCCTGCACTCCTCTTATAGTTCTCTTGCTTGCGCTCCACCTCCAGTGTCAAGTTTTGCAGAGTCTACTTTTGGCCTTCCCCATCAGTTGGCATTGTTGGTTCGGCTGTTTTTAGTGTTTATGTTAGTCATATTTGTGTCTTAAGTTCTTAGTTATTGGGCCTAAACTTG